CACATATATGCATGCTGCAAAAGTGCTTTTAGAACAGTCTGACATATTTTTGTTTAACCACTTGGCTCTTTCCCCCAAGACTGTAGTGCCAAATTTATGAAAAAGAACAGAGGACCCAAGGGAGAAGGGAAAGACAATGCCTGTAAAATTCAGCTTTATCTTCAATGAAGCTGAACACGAGAAGCCAGGGTGGCGGCAGGGGTGGAGGGACTGAGTACGAGAAATTTCCTCTGCTGGAGATATTTATTTGTCTATTGGGATACAACAAAGGGAAAAGAAGAGAGAGAAACAGGGCTACTACATTATCTTTCCCAAGTAGCTATTCTAATCAGATGCTTTCCTTTTATCAATTATCACAGGCAACAATGGTCACACTGCCTGAAAATTTGTGATTGCATTCCCAAGACATCTCAAGGGCACCAAGTTGGAGAAAGCTGGTGTATAGCCCGAGTAGTTTCTACAATGTGAGGACCGGTGTTTCTCAGTTTTCCCATTGGTTTCTTTAACTGATTAGTCTAAAACCCATGATCTTTGTGGGTGGACTTTCCTGAAACAGTTTCCTGTTGCCATCTAACACAGGATATCACCCTTGTATTATCTACCAAATTTCTTGGAGAACAGCCAAGAACAAAAGACTCAGACTACACCTTAGTTTAGAAATCTTTTTTTTAAATTTACTTTTAAACATGTGCACGCTGAGGAATATTTCAGGAGGGTGCTGGTGGACGCAGCAGAAATTACTTTGTTTACATAAGGTTGAGCAAAAGCAGTTTTAAAACAATTTCACAAGACACAGATAAGGAAATCATGTTTGTATTTTTCCACAGAAAAATCAGGCAGGAAAAAGGAACTGTTGGGACATATTTTTCCCTTCATAGCCAAGTGGCTTTTATTTTTAGCATTCACCTCAGTTATCAGCACCACCCCAATCCAAGCCTGCATAGTCTATGATTCACAAGGCTGAATGCAGGCAGCCATTGTGTGTATGATTTCTGATTTCTTCATTCCACGACAAGCAGTTGAAGCAAAAGAGTTACTGAGCTTTGCATGAGCTGACTAGCATTTGAAACATTGCCTCAGAAATTATGTATGCATGGTCTTAGAAAGCTACCTGAAAATGTGCCACTATTTTGAATTATGCAAACACCTTGTTCTTGAGGCCAAATGGTCTGCACATTGTTCTAGTCATAGTTGTGCTATCTGTGATTTGTTAACCAAAGCATAATTGATTATATAATCTCAACTGAAATAACTGGCATCTAACATCAGAAGTATGCTATTTGTGGCTAATTGTGAGTTTGTTTGAATTTGTGGTGAACCCAGTTATTGTCATATGTGAACATATGTGAATATTGCTTAATATATGAAACATCTAATTAAAGCTTAATTCAATACAGTATGACAATCTCAATAAATGTAAAGTGTAGCATGTAGAACAAAGAGACTGAAGGTAGTAAGCGTATATATCTTAATGACAAGAATTCAGAAGTTTGAAACTTCATTTTAAAAAACTACAAGAACAGTTAAATGGTACCAAACTACAGTGGTAGCTTGGTACTCATTGTTAACTGGTTTTGGAGGCATGACGAGTACCAAAAACAATGAGTACCAAACACATTTTTCCCATAAGGAATAATGTAGTGAGTCATAAGGCAGACAACATTGACAAGTTCTGGCTTGTGTGTTGAGTACCAAAAAAACAATAAGTACAGGGACATGATTTTCACATCAAAATGCGTTAAGTAGCAAACTGGATGAGTTTGAAAGCAGTTGAATACCAAGGTACCCCTGTGATAGCATTGCATGCAGTTGCTATCTTACTAAACATGTTTTATGAACACAACCTAGCAACTAAGCCCACTTCACAACTTCCAGTTAAGGACTTCCAGGAGTCTTTGTAAGAATCTCAAGATCATCAACAAACAATTCCTACGTTTATCCAGAAATAACCATTCTTAAGTTTATTTTCAAGACCCAGCTGTGTATTTTAAATAATATCTAACACTTTTAGTATTTGAGACAGACAATCTAGAACTGTTGATAGATCTACTTTATATAAGGAAGATCTCAGACTATCTCATCAATACTTTTGGTATAATTCATATGAAGGATCTCAGCTAACAGCACCTAGGAAGTGCCACAAATCAGAATAGACAATTCAAGTCCAATTCAGCACTTTACAACTTTACATGTTCTTGTTATACAAGAAACCAGACTTGTGATACATAGCAATCACTGATCCTTAACAGTATGTCTATGTTTGCTGGTGGTACAACCAAGAAATTTTGTTTGTTGTTTCTCATTATAGTATTATAGCATTCTGTCTTCAGAAAAGACAGAAATTGTCCTGAGATAGCCACAAGTAGGACACAACTAAATGGCTTCATCATCTCCACTTGGCTGATCTTGAAATCTTAATCAGAGTAAGACCTGGTTAATACTTAGATAGGAGACCACAAGGAAATCTCATCAGAGTAGGCTAGATCAGTGGTTCTCAACCTTTTTAATGCCATGACCCCCAAGTCGAGGACTAAACCGGTCATAAGTCGAGGACTAAACCGGTTGTAAGTCAAGGACTACCCAACCGGTCATAAGTCGAGGACTTTCCCTGCCTGGGAGCACCGTGCATGCGTGGTTCCGCCCCCTGCGCCGGCCGAGGCGTAGCTGGCAAGCGGCAGAGACGGAGCAGGCCGACCACCAGCTGGCCCAGCTCAAGGGAGGTAAGGCACCCGCCGGAAAAGGGGGAAAAATGGCGGACAGCCTTGCTTGGCGACCCCGTGAAATGGTCGATCGACCCCAAATGGGGTCCCGACCCATAGGTTGAGAACCACTGGGCTAGATGAACATGTCATAAAACATTATGGAAGAGGAAATTAGAGATAAAAGAGTAAGTCAAGCTTTGTACAACTGGACTTACTTCAGCTGTGTGACCAAGGAGAACCAGAAGATAGGTTCAAGATCCCGATGGACCTCAACAGAATTGAACACTGGGCTCTGTCTAACAAAATGAAATTCAATGAAGAGAAAAGTAAGGTTTTACATTTGGGCAAGAAAAAACAAATATATAGGTACAGATTAGGTGAGACCTGGCTCAATACCAGTAACTGCGAGAGGGATCTTGCAGATCCTAATGGACAATCACTTAAATATGAGCCCGCAGTGTGCTGCAGCCAATGCAATCCTAGGTTGCATTAACAGAGGGATAGAATCAAGATCACATGAAGTGTTAGTACTGCTTTATAATGCCTTGGTAAGACCACACTTGGAATATTGCATCCAGTTTTGGTCACCACAATATAAAAATATGTAGAGACTCTGGAAAGATTACAGAGAAGAGCAACAAAGATGATTAGGGGGCTGGAGGCTAAACATATGAAGAACGGTTGCAGGAATTGGATATGTCTAGTCTAGTGAAAATGACTAGGGGCGTCATGATTGCAATGTTCCAATATTTGAGGGGCTCCACAAAGAAGAGGGAGTCAATCTATTTTCCAAAGCACCAGAAGGCAGGACAGGAAGCAATGGATGGAAACTAATCAAGGAGAGAAGCAACCTAGAACTAAGGATAAATTTCCTTACAGTGAGAACAATCGATTGGTGGAATGGATTGCCTTCAGAAGTTGTGAGTGCAACTTCTTCCATCACTGGAAGCTTTTAAAAAGTGACTGGACAGCCATTTCTCTGAAATGATATAGGATCTCCTGCTTAAACAGGGGGTTGGCCTAGAAAACGTCCAAGGTTCCTTCTAACTCTGTTATTCTGTTTCCCAAAATGTATTCTGAAAATCTTTCTCAGTTTAATCAGAGCTATGAGATTCGGGCTAACAACAAAAAAAATCAGAAAATGAACACTTTGATGCCATTTAGTCGTATTTTGGCGGATTTGATAGTTGGTTAAAATCTCAGTCTTTCAGCTGCTGAATGATAGAAAGCTGCGGAGTGGTGGTGGGGTGGTGGTCAGGGGTATGGAAATAGATAAGCTCGTTGTTATTACTTTGCTATAAAAGATCAGATCCATGTTCGCACAACGCACTGACCCACGAATATCTAAACGATATTTGCTAAATTTACCCAATCGCTTGGATTTTAGCCCAGTCCTTATAAACGGGATGCACTTATCAGGAACGAGTAGGAAGTTATAACAAATCTAAAGCATTTGGGGCGTGGGAGCCACGAATATGCTGACGGGAATTCCGGTGCCTTGCTTGTTTCAATCCACTTGGCAAAGGGAAAGGGTTGGATACGTGACGAGAAAACGGCTGGTTTGTTTTTCCCGAGGGCTTCCAGGTTGCGCAACTAGCGAATCTGCCGAAAGGTTTCTTCCCTACGTTCCATCGCGGCTCTCATCCCTCCCTGATCTTCCTGTTGCCCGGATGGTCACGGCCAGCGGGAGCGTTTCCCTAGGAACTACGGCAAGAGGCGAGGACCAAGTCCTTCCGGCTTCTTCTCAAGCCACTTTTCCAGTGCCCTCGCCCAGTCCCTTCCATCCTGCTCCCAAGCACCGGAGGGGGGGGGCGAGGGGGCGGGGACGGATGAGAAGCGGGGCCGAGTTGAGAGAGGCGGCCTGCTTTGGGGAGAGGGGGGGGGGCTGGGTGTAGCTTTGACCACCGGGATGACTTTGCCGCACCACCTTCGCAGTGGCGACCGTCGCAACTGAAAGCCAGGACTTCATCTTCCTCCTCCTCCTCCTCAGCCGTTGCCAGGCGAAGTGAGAGGGCGGGTCCGAAGGGGAGGGACCAGCCGATGGACCAGCCGGGCCTGGAGCGGAGCCTGGAAGAGCTGCTTTTCGGAAAGGCCTCGCAAAATGTGGGCGTAGCGGGGAGGCGAAGCAGCCCGTAGCCTTGCCGGGCCCAGGGCCCGTCGGAAGGCGTTGAGAGGGGAACGCCTGGATAGGCGGATGCCTCCGCCGCCGCTGCCGGGAGCCTGAGGCGGCGGCTCTTTCCTCCTCCTCCTCCTCCTCCTCCTCCTCTTCTCCTTCCCTCTCCGCCTCGCTCGGCCTCTCCCTCCTGCCTTGACCGACCAGTCGCTCAGCTCGCTCGCCTCACCCGCCGCCACCATGTCGGCCAAGGTGCGGCTGAAGAAGCTGGAGCAGCTGCTCTTGGATGGGCCCCGGCGCAACGAAAACGTCCTGAGCGTGGAGGGGCTGCTGGATCTCCTGGTCGGGCTCTACACCGAGTGCAGCCGCGACTCGCCGCTTCGCAGGGACAGGCTCGTCTCCGACTTCCTCGAGTGGGGTGAGGAGGAGGAGGAGGAGGAGGTGTGGGGGAGGGGGTAAGGGGACCGGATTGGGAATTTTGCCGGATCGCGGCTTGGTTTGGTTTGTGAATGGGGGGGCGGGGGGGGGCGGGCTTCCTCTCTGGTTGAACCCGGTTGAACTCAATGCGACTTGTTTCTGAGTAGGCATGGATACGACTGAAAAGCCTGTTTGCCGTGCGAGAGAAAGAGGGAGCGCCTACTCTGCTCACAGGAGTTTGAGATTGTCGGGTTGGGTAGTTCGTGGAAACCTGAGACAGAGATGTGTATAAGGATGGACCTGGCTGATAGCGCTTGGGGGAGGTGAGAAGGAAGAATTGCTGGGTTAATTAACAGGAGGATGGGAGAAGGAGCGCATCCCCTGTCAAATTGGCTGAAGTAGCCGGGGGAGTGAGAATTATTATCTAATCATCCAGGATAAGATCATTTTTTACGAGACTGAGATGGTAGACTTTGAAACAAAACTTCAGAAATAAAGTGGGGTAGCTCAGTGGCAACAGTGAAAAAGAGAAAACAATTTCTGTCCTAAAAGCTTTTACAGGACGTGGACATTTTTGGTGAGAAATATCTCTTATGAGACTTTGGGAGTGGTAACAGTGAGGATGAAGGAAATTCACTCAGTGATGACTGATGTACATTGAGAGCATGGAATTACAAAGAAGGGAGAACCAAAATATTATCCAAACTAGGAGAGTACGGTATTTCTTTTTTGATAACATTCATAATGATCTACAATTGCAGAAACAGGAGTTGCATGAATTCAATGGTAGCTGGATGATTTGGAGATGGTAAGGCCAAAAGATATGGTATAAATTCAGTTTGAATTATGGATTTTGCTAGTCTGTGTGACTTATAAGAAGAGGGGAAAGTTAAAATAGTATTGTATTGGTTAAAGGTGAATTGAGGAGAACAGGATGTGAATGAAAGATACTGCTTCTGCAAAATCAGAGCAGACACTGTTTTAGGGCAGGAATTGTCAACATATGGAATAGCTCCAGACCCTACTGATCAGAAAAGGAAAAATGGAGAACTAAGTCCACAAGTACTATGCATTAGAAAAGAAATTGCAGATTTTGTGAAGAAATTGCACAAATTAGTCAATTTAAGATAATGGGACTAATCAACACATCCCAGGCAGCTCTTTCAAAAATAAATAAATTGTATTTATCTGAAATGAGAAGTGAAGAAAAGTCAGAAGACACTTTTATATTCAAAGCTGTCGGAAGGAAGTGTTCATATCCTGAAGGTGACAGTTCAGACTGTCATCCTGACTAATGGGGGTTGGGGGTAAGGGTGGATTAGATTCCATTAATAGCGCAGCCAGATGGACTATTAGGAGAGATGTGGGATGAATTCAAAGCTAGATTTAGTTGAAATGAAGAATTTGGAATCAGTGTTACTTTTAGTAACTGAGGAATACAATGTACCTTCTTGCTGTGCTGTAATATTGGAGGTTCCAAGAAATCTAGTGCAACAGGGTAATGAGGTGGAAGGGAAGGAAGATAAATGCTTGTTACCTCTCCATTCCTTTCTGAACTTAAAAAAAAATCCTTCCATTACAAGCATATAAATCAAGAAAGGAAAAGAAAGCTCTGAATCCCCAGTGTGACTTTTGGAAGCTAGAGAGATTCCATCCCACTAGTTTTAGTGTTCAGTAACCTTCTTGCCTAATTTTATTTTCTAGATTATTTTGATGTAGAAAATGGATGGGAAGTTAGCACGCTGCAAAACAAAGCACCAGGCTCAATCAGAACTTGATTTTCCAACAAAACCTTTGAGTAATGGGTCCTTGGTGCTCTCTGAGCTTGGTTGTTTTTTTTGTAGACATTATCCAAAGTAAGTTACATTAGCACTAGTAAGGAATGGAGTCTGCCCTCAATTTGTATTCTAGTGACTTGTCCTGTCAGGGTTGTTGGGAGTGGTTTTGGTGATTTTTTTTGGTTGGGCTGCTTACTATTAGCTTGTTTGGCATTTCCTAGATTGGGGTATTGTTTACTTCTTGGTTGTTGGTCTGATGTTAACCTTGGTGTTAAACTGTGCTCATCTGGGTATTGATTGCCAATGGGGAGTTGTTTTGGTCTTTTTGTTCTCTTTTTGGCTTGTTAATTGTCTCTTTTGCACAGTATATAGATGTTGTTTATGTCTAGGTGTCTGTTGATGGCCATTTGTCAAAGTGCAAGGCTTCCAGGAATTTTCTAGTGTTTTTGAACTTGGCATGGTCTAGGATGGTCACCGTTTCCCAGTTAAAATTATGGTTAAATCCATATGTTGTAAAATTAAAGAGTTTTCATCATGTCTTCTGACTGCTAATTGGTGTTCATGGATGTGCTCTGCTAGTCTCCTGTTTGTCCTACATAGTGGTTATTGCAATCTTTACACTGTAATGTTGTAGATAACTCCTGTTTTTTCTTCTGGATCTGCTGGGTTTTTTTGGTTTATTCAGGATGTTTTGGAGTGCTTTAGTTGGTTTGTGTGCTGTGTTGATTCTATGTGGTCATCTGTAGGTGGTTTCTCACATGTTTTTGATGTATGACAGTGTTATCCTTTTTACGGCTTGTGTTGGTTGTGCTATATTGGGTTGAGTGGTCAAGCAGTTTTTGATGAAATTGCGTGGATATCCATTTTGTTGGAAGATATTGTATGGATGTTCTGTTTCCTTTTTCCGCTGTTAAGGGTTGTTGCAGTCTAAATAGAGTTCTTATATAGCTCCTGTTGTGAGAAGTTAGGTTACTCCTAACCTCAAAGGTTAGGTAAAAGTTTTGAGTTCCACATAAACTTCCTAGGTATTCTTAGCAAAGAGAGGGAGAGAGAGAGGAAAGAGAGAGAGAGAGAGAGTATAAGCTTAAAAAGTGTACCTGGAAAGAGGCATGAGTTTGGAATTACTGACTAATGGAGTACTTCTGACTTTGTCTTTGTTTTGTAAATTCAATCCACATATTTTTCATCACTGACCAGCATAAGAAATAACGCATGGGTTTACAAACGTAGCTGCAGATTAACAGCTATAATTTACAAATAGGCCATGCTTATTAAGCTGTATAGAAAGTAAAATAATGGAACATGAAACTATGTATTTTGGAACTCAAAACTATAAGACTAACATTTACTGTATTAAAGTATGTAAGGTTAATTATTAATTTAACTTTAATTAAACTTGCTATATAAACCCACTTCCTCCACCGTTAGGCATGATTAGGGCTTACCTTTTTTATTACAAGAGTTTTTTTTAAAAAAAATTCTCCAGGAAGAGATACATACAGTATGAATATAAGCAATGAGGAATTTTTTACATGCTCTTAATGATACTTAGTACAACACTAAAATGTGAGAACATCTGGTTCTCAATTTCTGAATGGACCAGTGCCTTTTGTTTTACATTAACCCACTAAGAGGATTCACTTCCTGCAGTCATCTATTGACATCAAGAAGCCCTTTAACTGAATAATTGAACACTACCTGTCATCTATTTTGAAAGCTCATAGAATTGATTAGTTTTGTGGCAGATATAAAGTATACCGTACTTTAATCTTGGTGGATTTTTTTTATATCTACAGTATATAAGCCGTTGATGTATATAAATTGCTGTGTTCCATTTTAGAGACTTAATTTGTTCTGGATGACAAAAATAATTCATTTCTAGAAACAAATACTTTTAATTTTGATTTAATTCCACTAAGCTCAATGCTGACATTGGACTAGTTCAATTTAATTACTGGCTTAAGCAGAGAGATGCATGAGCTTTGTTTTCAAACAGTTGAAAGAATGCTTGCACCCCTTTCTGTTAGAAAGAAATATATTTTAGATCATTTCCTTAATATTTAAACAAGAATTAGTTTTAAGGGTGGCCCAGCTATTGTATAACTCTCTATTATATTACTAGCACTTATAAGACAACAACAAGGAAATGCTAAATAGTTCAGAATCTTGAACTTTTTTGATATACTGTCTTGATACTATCATGGCTATTTAGCTACCACCATTACCACCACCATTATTTCTTTCCATTAAAAAATACACATACTATTTTTTGATTTTTGTCATGTATTATTTAATTTGAGTTGTATTAAAGAAGAATTAGGAAATAGTTGAACATTAATTCATATGTTGATGCCAATATTTGTTGCAGTAACTTTTGCCAAGGTACATACAATGGGAAAGTTTGATTGCTCAGTAGAAGAGTATATGCCTTGGATTTAGAAGATTCCAAACATCCTAAGCAAAATGATTTAATAGGCTAATTCAGTACAAATCAGTTTCGTGTACTGTAGGATAACTGAAATATAAACTAAATAACCATTTTTAGTAGAGAACCAGAATTAGAAATAAAAGTACTTTTGTAGTGAATGGTGGGTATAGATATCATGTTTGAAAAAAAAGATGAAAATATTAGTACGCTCAAGTTTAGAAAACTGTAACCATTCACATGACTAATGACCTCGTCATTAGTATGAGTTCCTTTGCTAAGAATTAAGACATTAGAATACACAATTGTACAGAAGTGCAATATTTAGTATCTGAAGTGTATTGTATTGTTTTATTGTTTCTGCTTTTATCACTGTTACCTGCTATATAATTTATATAGCTACCATCTTGTAGGATAAAACTGTTACAGTTTTATAAATTGTATATAAATTGTTTAAATAAATAAAAAATAGTTCAGAAATGTGAAATATAAAATAAATAAAATAGACACGAAGGAAAATAAGTCCTTCAGATCTAAATCCAGAAAACTAGGGTTCTCAACAAATCCAGATATGTAATGATGAGGGTGAGCCTGGCTAGGAGGAAGGAATCCAATATATGAGAACATAAACGGTATAGACAATTATAGATAAAAAGCTTGATCAAAGCAAGGGCATTATTTTTTAAAGCTATTATAAATTAGGATTATAGGAAAAGACACAGATCCAGAATTATGCACAAAAGAACGTGTCTCAGAATTGCACAATAGTTAAAATATCTAGCCAAGGTAGTGCTATAA